GTTTCATGGAAAAAGATGACACCACCAATATATTCAGAGACTGAGTTGTCTACAGAGAAGAGGATGTCACGAAAGCTGCGGCGGTTGTCTTCAGTGTTCTCCACTTTTATCTTCTGAAAACGCTTTGCCATGGTGCCTAGAATATGAAACACACATCTAAGAACATCTGCTGGAATGCAAGCTTACCATGACATATTCAAAACTACAATTCATTATTAGTACAACCATAAATCTTGAAAAATTTAATAAGACAACACTGTTAAAAAACAATTATTCAGCAACATCTGAAGTATTTTCAATGCTTATTGTTGATCATTTAATATATATTGCATAGAGTTGGTACTCTATCCCATGCAATACACCACACATTCTTACCTGTGGACTCATCTGCAGCCAAAATGCCTTTTCCAGTAGCCACAATGCGCTGGGCAATTGTGGAAAGCTCCTTCTTCTGCTCCGTAGAGAGAGCTGGAAACTGATGTGTCATGCTGGGAAAAGAGCAAAAGTAAATGTATTTGCAAAAAATACCAAATTTACAGAACTTCTATTATTCAGATCACTGGGTTATTCACTGCTATCTGTACATATTTTGCCTGACTGCTGAACTTTAGTCCAGAGAAACACACTGGCTCCTCCCACTGAACAAACAAGTCCAGGGTTCAGTCATCTGATATAGACCAGAGCATTTTGCAGTTTTCCTTGCTATTATGTGCAAAGAAAAAGTGCAACACGTTTCACACATTAGTGCAATATCGTTAAGAACTGTACAAAAGTGTCTTTCATACACTGTGTAGTTATGAAAGAAAATTTACCTCCTTTTTCGCAGTAAACGAACATGCCATTTGCCTACGTATATAAAAACTAAAATGCAGCGCCTGCATTCATCCCGTAGATAATTTGCAAACTGCACAATCTAACCAATACAGTTCTGAAATTTCAAAGATATATTTGAAATATTCTTACAGTGATTTATGACTTGCATTAAAGAGCAGAACCTGAATATTTAGCGATATCATTGCACTGACACATCTGCAGTTTGTGAGTTCGATTCAACGTGTTTATGTATTGCTCTACCCTTCCAAAATACTACATCGACTTACAACATAAATATTAATACTAACTTGGTAAATGCGATGATAAATAGAGAATTAAAAACGTCAAAAGCCATGCTTACTTGATTGGTCTGAAGTCGAGCAGCACTATGTATAAACTTTAGATGGAGTGGCCTCTCCTCGATGGGTTTTAGGGAATCGGGACAGAGCTATTCGAACAAGTCGCTATTTATTCGAGAGCAGAGGCAGGACAAAAGTGATGCTAACGGGCGTGCTCAACCTCCAAGAACGCCATTGGTTGGGATATTGGACGTGTGTGTGAGAATATCTGCGTATGTGGACTTTGGAAGAAGAGTTTTAACTTAGCCGTCCCTGACCTTAGTGTTACACAGGGCTGGAAACGTGAGATCTGAGATAACAGAGTTGATTTTCAGGTTTCTTCAGTTCTTGCGTTATCATAAACAAGTATGTACTCTGCAAACTTTCTGTGGAAGCCACACTGTTTTATATTCTGACTGGCACAAAAGGTGTAATGTCCCACTGCAATATGATAATGCATGCAATACATAGACTAGTGAATGTGAAAGAAAACACAGTGACAATAATTCTCCTTATGAAAAAAATAAAAACTATGCTATTATAGATCCTGACAACAGACATCACACAAGGCCAGCAGTTGGGTGAGGTTTACACAGGGTGTTCTATTAACTGTGTTTAGAGGTGCCTGCAGTGGGGAATCCAGGTGAAATCATTAATTTGATGCTTTTAAACTATAAAATGCATGCTTTTTTTAATTTCACAATTCAGTTGAACTTCACAAACATTGTCATTCATAAGAAAACATCCTCAGTTGTGGCACTTTATTTAAAGTATGCACTAAAAGTAAAACGGCATGTCCAAATGTGTGTGTGTGTGTGTGTGTGTGTGTGTGTGTGCTGGATGAGTGTGGTTAACAAATTTGTCTGATTGCCATTGACATCAGTCACAAACACATTAAGGGAATGCTTGTGGGAGAGAATTACATCAACAGCAGTTGATGAAATCATTTTGGCAGACAGACAAGACGTGGTCTGATGAAAGGGTTTGAGCAGTCAGGCCATTGATAAACTTGCTGCACGATGAAGACAAAGACGTGCACGCACTGATGCATAGACACTTTGAACTAAGATAACAAAAGTCAAGGGATTTCACAACATGAACTCTGTATTCAAAGGCAAGAGTATCAAATGCACGCTCAAGGACAGAGTCCAAATATTAGTTCGTGCACAGAGCGTGACACTTAATTGCAATGAAGTAAGTCTTTGAGTCAAAACACACACACACACACACACACACACACACACACACACACATACACACAAATGATGGTACCCCCACATTACCAGGAGTTTCAACTGACTTTATGGTTTTATATTGAGCTAATGATATTGTCTGTCCCCCAGTCCTCACAGAAACCTTTCTGATTTTTTTAAATTTTCAGTAAATGTTTCATTCATTTAGCCGTTTGAGTTACAGGGACAGTCGCATTGTGGGTAAAGTCAGGTTTGCTTACATTATGAATCCATTTTTGGTTCTATGGTGTAGGTCAAACCAGCACACACACAAGCAAACATAAGGACAAGGCTGCTATAGTAAATACAAAACAATACAGTGTACATACAATACATCTTATTTGCCCATGTGAAGTTATTAAACACATACATATCCAACAACACAGTTGATCTGGAAACAGCATACTTCTTTAATTTATTTACAAGAATAAATATTTATGTCTAACTTTTAAAAATGATATACTGTACTTTAACTAGTATTACATTTTAAACGTACATTTAAAGCGGTCATATGATGCTGCTAAAAAGAACATTATTTTTTGCATTTGGTGTAATGAAATGTGTTTATGCGTTTTAAGGTTAAAAAAACGCATTATTTTCCACATACTGTACATTATTGTTTCTCCTCTATGCCCCGCCTTTCTGAAACGCGTCGATTTTTACAAAGCTCATCGGTCTGAAAAGCAAGGTGTGCTCTGATTGGCCAGCTAACCAGTGCGTTGTGATTGGCCGAATACCTCAAGCGTGTGACGGAAATGTTACGCCCCTTATCATATTGTGATGCCCTGTCCGGCTGGAGCTACAAGACAAAAAACATTACAAACTATGCATTTGTTGCATCCAGTGGGGACATAATTACGGATTATAATGACTTATACCTGTCTTTTTTTGCGTTGCATCGCGCCGCGTAAACATAAAAACCATGTCTGCATTTGTGATCGGAGAAACGACAAACAACAAGCACTACTCTACACTGCTCAACTCGCGTTTTAATCGTCAGTGGCAAATCCTTTAAATATAAAAAAAGTATACTTACAGTCTGTGAGTCAGAACAGCCGGCATTGTAGTCTACTCTCCCAGGATCAGGAAACAGTCCTCCATAAAATGTGCTGAACACATCTGAATATTTGGGTTAAACTGTTCTGGAACAGTGTTGTAAATACAACTTAACAACTGATTCCTAGTCGTG